GCTATATAAATACAGGCCATTTTACCATTTACCATAATCCGGTGCACCTTATGGTCCGAAAAATACAGTATATTAAATAAGTGAAAACTAGCACTAATAACATTAAAATATATTAAAAGGTAAGACTGGAAAAGCACTTAGTTAAAGATGCTTAGTTAAACCAGCCTGTGCAAATTTCATTCAATTTGTATAAAAAATATAACAACAGAAGTCTTGAGTGTTCAAACTTTTTGATAAGCTTCAGCTCAGAGCGCTTGGAAAGCAGATAGGAGAAGATAAGAGCAGACACAAAACTGGTAATTAAGTTAAGAATCAAGCCCTTAACAGCTTGCCTGTATCTAGTACTTCACTCAACAGTGTAACAGCCAAACTGCACCTGTGTGAGTTCATTGTGGGAAGCGAGTCTCTGAGTGTGTGAGAGAAGCAGCTGCAGCAACAGAAGAGTGAATGCCATTAGCAGTAGTTACTTTAATCAGCCGTAAAGTGTGCAGATAAGCCAAGTAGTTACCGAGAGGGAAGAAAGAGTGATAAACTTTTTAAAACTGAAACTCATCACCAGTATAATGTGACATCTGTAATTCTGACTCGAGGTGATTATAACAGTGAATATTTTGTCATCTGAGTGAACTCAGAGCCATGCTTTATAAGTTCTTGCTTACCACCAAGTTGATTCGAACAGTGACCACCAGTTTTAGCCAGGAGGGGAACTTGGCAATGATTTTTGTGATGAAGGATGCAATGGTGTCTCCATAGTCTGGTTTGTGGAACTCCGCTTCATTCAGCCCGTCTATTAAGATTATGTAATCTTCCTCTGGAATCCTTCGCTCTGCAAAGACATTTACAAATAAACTAAATATCAAAATACTATGAAAGGAGAATAGAGGTCTCATACACGACGAAAATGAAATAGTGCAATATACAACTACAGTGTTTTACCTTTCCGAAGGTTGGCCAACGGTTCCAGGACTCCTCTCCGGAAAGCAGCCATGGGGTCTTGGACACAGGAGCGCAGACTGAGCATGCTCTGGAGGTGGGGCTCTTTCAGCAACAGCTCCCGGTACGCACTCAGTTGATGTGCTCTGCACAGAAGGGCTGCGATGCTATGCACAAATTCTGGGACCAAGCAAGTGTACGTGTTATCTGCCTGGCAATAATGATAAGCCACCACCTGGAAGACAAAGGAACGAGAACAAACGCGAGTGAAGCCATTGCTTTTTGAGAATCAGGAAGAATTAAAAATATGATTCACTGACTGATGGGTACATTTGATAACTTCAAAGCGTTTACAAACACCAACATCTCTGGTGACTTAAAAACTGCCATGACAAAGTAAGTAAGTGAGGCTTTTGATACCAACAAGCCTCCATAAAACTACATATTAGCTCTACAATGTCGAAGACATGATTTTATCCTTTCATTATTTCACACAGAAGGGATGATGAAGAGATTGGGCAACGGATGAAAAGCTATAAAAAGAAGTGAGTAGATCCCAGGTGGATATCTAAAGGTAGAATCTTCTGTACCTGAGCAGGTTTCCGCAGCATTCAAAGGAGGTCTGATTTAAAAGGAAAATGCAGGGACAGAGGTGGAGAACACGGAAGATGACTGTACTAATTAAAGTCCAACCTGGAGGAGCTGACACACTTCCAGGGCCACAGGAGGAGGAGCAGGTGATCAGTTCCTCTGACAGCTCAACCTCAGCTGTTGCCGTTTAATTCTCCACCGAAAACCGATGACCAGCTTCTAGAAAAATGACTAAAGCCTCAAGGTATGAGACTTTTTCTTTTTTTCTTTTTTTTTTACATTTAACATCAATAAATGTTTTGGACCCAGACTTCTCCCCACAGCACAGATCTAAATGCATATTTATGGTTCTTTCTTTTTCAAATAATGACATATAACTCACATGCCAATAAAGGCACAATTAAAGCTAGCGCAAATTAGAAAAGAGGGAGACTTTAAAAATTATAGCTGAACTCCCTGGATGTATATAACCCATCTTTAGGAAAACATGTGACATCCAGTCAGAAGATGGACCAACTGAAACAATAGCACAACCACTGATTCACATCTTCTCCAGAAACTGTCAGAAATCACGACCACCAGAATTTGTCTCTGATGTTATGCTTTACCCTAAAAGCAGCAAACGTCTGAGAGAAGTCCGAACACTCCTTTCGGTCATATTTGCGTCACATGTTTTTTGAGCTTCATCATAAATGTGACATAACAAAGCAACAGAGGGAAACTGTACAATAATAGGCATTCAATATATCAAAGTCAAGTAATCTGCTGTGTTGCATGAACACAACTCTTAATAAGCCCCCTACTGCAGTGATGATTTAATTTAGCATACAAGTCACGCAGACTACCGCCTCATCAATGAGCAATACGAATCTCGACACACGATGATGCAACGCTCTGCAGTCAAACCTCGGTAGCGCATCTGCTGGCAAAACAATAAATGCATTTTCAGAAATGTTACCTAAAGGCACGTCTCGATAATAAGAATAAAGCAGAAAGGGTAGTAGCCTCAGTGCTCCTGTTATGAGACCACTTTTAAATCAATGATTAAAAAAGCACTGGCAGAATCTGACAGAAGCTGCTCAGCGTTGCATCACACATCACAGGAACAGAGCCCCCGTGAAGGCGCCTATTGGAAACACTTTTCACCATAATTGGCTCAAGAGATACTGCTTGAGTTTCACAGACATTTACATGAAGCTCACTGCATTACCCTAGCTGTCTGGTGCATGAACTGTCCCCTTTGACAGGGTCACTAATTAGGAGGCCTTCCTGACAGGATAAGAGTATTAAATTCTAAAGGTGTTAGAAGGACAACAGGTTGTAATCAGTGCCATTAAACGCAGCAGAATCAGTAGGAGACGTCACATCCACTGAGAAAGTCTTTCACAAAGCTGCCACCTATTAAATTACCTTACAACCTATCATAACAGCACTATTCAAACTCAACTAAATGCTACAGTAGATCAGAAATCTTCTCTGAATCCCGGTGGCCCCCATCTTTATTAGACCTGCTATAAGGCAATAGCAGTGCCAAAGTCATCAAATGGTGCTTTTAGCAAGCAGTATTTTCAAAACGAACGTGCACCTGCTATGTGACTGAACCCTCAGCAACACAAGAAGAGGTGGTGCGAGTAAAGATGCGGGAGTGAAAAATCGACAGAGAAATTTCAGCGGAAACGGAGCGAACAATTCCAAAACTAAAATAAAAGAGCCGTGGGCAAAAACCGCACACTGCTAGTCGGCGTGCATCGAGAGAGGAGCATTTTAAAGTGGAACATCGAGGACTTGTCTGTCCACTTCACAAGTCTGAAAGAGAAAGATGTGCAGAAATATGCTCAGTGTCTGGTATGCATGTTTGGGGGATTTTTTTTTGGTCACAGACAAGTGGTTAACAATATTACTGACGGTGTGGGGGAGTAACAGAACACATGTAAAGCTGTTACCGTGCAGTACTTTATATCTTGTGAAAAATGTTGACACGCTTATACAAGAAAACACTTAATCTTCTGCTCAACAGCGCTGACACGTAAACTTCCCAGAGAGACAGCATTTAGAAGTTATTTTGCGATCCTTGTAACGCCAGAAAAATCAACAGATGGAATATTCATCTGTCAAAAAAGTAAGCACTGTCCTCAGTAGTCAGTGTTGCGCCGCTTCATGGAATTTTGAGGATCCTTATCATGTTCAAACATCCCAGTTCAACACTTGAACAGGCGGCCTTACAATATCTTTAAGCACCTATTTGAAGTTGACACAGGAACGGATACCAACCAGCAATTAAGCAGTAGTAGTGCCATACATGTCGGTATAACTGATAGCCGCCTAGATAAATGGTGTTGCTATTTGAAACGTATGTTGATGTTTGTAAATTCCTAAATGACGTCTAATATTGATGAAGCTGGCTCTGTTTGACGTTGGTGTGTTTACATTCTGTGCTCTCAGGTCATGGCTGACAGGGCTCGCTATGGGTTGTTGCTCCCTGAGGAGGTTCTAATCACTGACTAGTAAACTGCAACCTACCATTATTGTTATGTATAATTTTATGTATCATTCAAGAGAATATATCACAATTATCTGTAGTCACTATTAAAGAGCAGTTTTCAGAAGTCAGACTGAAGCTGTTGTAGAAGCACTTGGTGCCACAAAACCTGAGATGCTTTTTGGTCAATTTTCCTTCTTTTTCCTTTTTTTTTTTTTAGAAAAGAAAGAAAGAAAGAAAGAAAGAAAGAAAGAAAGAACAAATCCATCCATCAAAAAAAAAAATCTACTCACTGTTGAAAATTGTTAAAATTACTTTTTTGATCCAGTGCACACACCAAACATTTTTCCCCTGAGTAAACACCACCATAACTAGTGAAATCTTTTTTCAGCTTCTTTGATTCCTTCTTCTTTGTTACTGTGAGCTCTCTTGGATGTTGAAAGGCGTACCTTTGCAGCCAGGCGTTTGACAGCCTCCTCCCTGTGCCGCTGCATCTCAGGAGTTCCTGGGCAACTACTGGTCCTCAGTGTGTTGGCAGCACTGGATGGTGGAGTGGGCTGTGGAGGTTGGCTCAGCGGAAGTTCTGTGCTTTGTCCTGGGCCAGCTGGAAGACGTGCACGTGGTCACCAATATATAAAGTTATTACATTAATATAAACTAACATCTATATATAGATATATATGTATATGCTAGCATTAATAACATTAGTTGTGTGTGAGGACATTCTTTTGTAAGGTAAATTTAATATTAGTCAACTTGATTTTATATTGCCAACGAATATATAATTACTTCCCTCCCACACTTTGCATGCTAATGTTGAAATGAATTAATTACTTTTCGGGGAGGCGCTGGGACTGTTGGAGGCGATCTGACGCATGCGTCCCCCATGGCAGCTCAGCGCCACAAGTCGGGAGATGATGGCCGTCTTCCCATAACCCACGCTGCCCACCACCACAGCACCGTGGTTCTCTGTGGACTCGCCGGCCTTTAGGACATCTTCCAGATGCTGAAAGAGCCAATCTCGGCCCACAAACACAGAATCTGTGGTGATGCTGGGAACCTCGAACAGCAAAGGTTTGAGCATGATGTCCACGGGTTTGTAGGGAGCAAAACGCGCTGAAGGAAACGGGAAAAGAAATGAAACAGATTAAAATTGTTTACACTACTTCTATTTTTTTTCCCCATGTCTCCGGGAAGTTAACAAATTATTACTTCTTTTAAATGCTGGAAACTTTACTGTAATAAATCGTTTTCCCTTGCAGTTAACCTACAAACATGCATTCTTCTTCACAGAAGGAGCCACATACATGGAAAAACCCTGAACACTGTAGAGGATACATTTTCAATTAAGTGGAATCAGAGTGAAGACTTGAAAGAGGACTCTTATCTGGTCTACTTCAGCACTAATTAGATCTCATAACACTTGTTAACTAACATCACTAAATTACTGCTACCTTTAGTGCTAATGCGCCTTTCAACATTACAACTATCACTGCTGTTAGCTGCTAGTGTTTTCACCTTGTGAGTTTGCCTGTGTTCACAATAGCCTATTGTAATTGGAGGGGCAGTTGAGAGTGTTTATATTGGCAGGTGTTGTCTGTTTATGTTTCTAGTGCCCTACAATGAAACCAAAAAGCGAACGAGCTGGTTCTGAGACTCTTGAAATGATCACCACCTTCTACTATACCAGCAAAATAAGTACAGTGTTTGAAAAACTCTAACTTGAGCAAAAGGAGCGCCAGCTCGAGTATCGACGGGACCTAGAAAAAGAGTTATCTTTTATTAACCTCTCTTTATTGGATCCCCTTAGATTTCAAATCCATCTTCTTGCATATAAAGCCCCTAATGACCATGACTTGCTTTCTCAGTATCCTAAGCCGGAATGACAAGCAGAGGCTAAAGCTGCTTCGCTCCTGTGGAACCAGCTGGCTGTTTAGGGTTGGGAGCCAAACCCAATCTCTAATTTTAAGATTAGCCTCAAAACCTTTCATAGATTTATAGTTAAAGCTCAGTCAGCTAACGTCTGAATCACCCTTTACTTATTATGCTGCGACAGGCCTTTGCTTTCAAGAGGCCTCACATGGTGCACCGACATCCTCACCTCTTCTCCATTTCATTGTTCATGCATGTCAGTTTGTGTATTCTCTCTCCCACAGTTGAAGCTTTTCTCCTTCTCATCTTTTTTTCTTTCATTTCACTCTCCTCTCATGGTAATCAAATGAGTGCTGCTCATCCCGAGTCTAGTTCTGTCGGAGGGTTCGCCCAGTCAAACAGGAGGTCACTAAATGTTGCTCAAAACAGAACTGTAAGGTCCTCGGCATACTAGGTAGAGTTTCCTAAGATGGCACATGTTGAGATTTTTGCAATATATGAATACAACTGCAATAAACTGCACTGAAATGTTGACCTACTGCTGCAAAATTTAGGTAAAGGTGGTGCCATCACACCCAAATCTGAAAAACAAATACCATAAATCATAAATCATATAGACAGGGCTGGATCAGCTGACCCTGAATCCTCCCTTAGTTATGCTGCAATAGGTGTAGGCTGCTGGGGGATTCCCATGATTTCACTCACCTTTCTCCCTCAAGATGTGTTAATAGACCTCTCTGCACTGAATCATACTTGTTATTAATCTCTGGCTCTCTTCAACAGCATGTATGTTATCCTGTCTTCCTTCTCTCTCCCCAACCAGTTGCTACAGATGGCAGCCCCTCCCTGAGCCTGGTTCTGCCAGAGGTTTGCTCCTGATAAAAGGGAGTTTTTCCTTCCCACTGTTGACAAAGTGCTTGCTCATAGGGGGTCATATGATTGTTGGATCTGTATGCGTTATTGTAGGGTCTACCTTACAATATAAAGTGCCTTGATGCGACCGTTGCTGTGATTTGGCGCTGCATAAATAATACTGAATTGAGTTGAACTGAATCTACCATATGTTAATATTAAATTTATAGAAAAGAATCCAGTTGTTTAAGATTGTTGCGTATGTACGAATTCATGTAGAAAAAAAACCTGCTCAGAACCACTGACAATACGCTTATGTATCAGCTTCATGTTTGAGACTGAGTGAAAATGAAAGAGGACATTTTAAAAAGGGAGACTAAATAGTCTGAGTATATATCCAGTGATGACTTATTCAGTAATTCATGTTCCCATGAAATATTTAATCTGCAGGATCTCTCAGAGGATTCAAAACACATAACCGGGATAAAAGTTAGCTGGGAAAAAAGGCATGATTTAAAAGCCAGAAAAAGGCTTTTGAGGATAATGTTAATACCCATAAGTGCTGCATTGTTTACATTGCAGTGTTCAAGTATTTGCACAGTTTTGTTGTTGGCTCTGCACTCAGACGTGGTACTTTGGAAACTTCAGAACTACTGACAGGCTGCCTATTAACTTCAGGGTTTTTCAGAGTCATAACACATAACATTATCCTATGTACTGCGATATTTTACACGTTTATTTTACAAATATCTCCCCTGAGTGCCTACAGCAGTAGTATGAATAGCCCAGTCACCTTTAGCGTCCTGAGGGGGCCTTCCTCCTGTATTATGCCAGGGTAGGCGAATAGATGTCCGGAGGGGGGTATTGCGCTGTTCATCAAGAAAGCTCAGGTCTTCAAGCTTTGTGGAACTGGTGGCTGTAGACAAGAGAGAAGACATACACACACACACAAAGAGTGAAGCTGACAGTCTAGTACCTCCCGAGTACATTTGTCATAACAACTATAAAGAGAAAGACAGAAACACACACTAGAGTAAAACCTTGTGGCACTTATGCCACGTCTGAGGGTGGATGAGTGAGGAAAGAACAAAGCCAGTGCGCTCTGACATTTGCAGGGGCAGTGTGAGCAGCTACCAGCATATACTGTGGCAGGAAGAATAGCAGTATTCTAAAGTCAAGAGCAATATGCACCATTTCTCTTTGATTTGAGCTGACAGCTCGACACGATATAGCAATGAGAGGTCCATCCCCACAAGCATCCCCACTAGGCTGAACGGAGAGGGCGGATTACCTTTACCTTTCATAAAACTAAAACGAGTTATAGAAATGCTTCACTGCGGGTTTGGCACTCATCACTGTCAATCTACAGGACGCACAGGTGTAACCTCAGGACCTTTGTGTACTACAAACTACAATATCTGTAAGTCATTTGACTTGAAATGAAATAATAAAATTAATTAAAACCAGATCACAACTTGAGTTGTTATGGAGTTAAAATCTACTGAGACTTCATTAGGATTTAGCTTCATTTTGAAGCAGAGAAAGAACAAGTCTCAAAGCAGGCAATGATTTCCATCCCCAAACACAGGATATCTCCTGAAACTACAGTCTACAGATTAAAACCACTTGATGAGCCAGTGATTACAACTCAGCTTTTAATTTGAAGTCTAAGACACGGTCTGTTAACATAATAAAAATGTGCATTAGTGCAGCGAGGCCTCTCCTCCAACTGCTGCTCGTTTTTCAACTATGCTATCGCCGTTGCGATCCACGCTCTCCTGGGCTTAGTGAAGAGCAGAATCAAAGCCTCTCTTCTTCTTCTTTATCAATATCAGCTGGGAAAGACTGTCACTAACACTCACAGCGCTCACTTCACTCCCTCACTCGGTCGCTAACTTACTCTCCGGAATGTCCCGCTAATTAAAACCGCTCTGCTGGCAACGGGAACTGAGGAAGCTGCCATCAACGCAACTTTGACTGGAACAGGAGAAGGGCCTGATGTTACTTTTACTGCAGTGCATTGTGCATACACAAACATCTACACTGGATAAAGCTTAAGGAATTGCAAACAAAGAGAAAAGAAAACAATAAAAGCAAACGCGCATGACCTGGGAGACCTTTTGCTGTGAAGCAAATGCCACTTTTCATCAGCTACAACTACTTACATCTAAGACCAAAGCCAGGAAGGATGGTGGGAATTCTCAAAGGCCTCTCCTTCTCCCCAGTGACGAGATACTTGGGCAGGCATACAGTCAAGTAGGCAGGGTGTAAACTCGCAGCTAAATCTCTGGAGAGTGTTCCCAGTGGACGAGGGCACAAAAGCGATTCCTTTACCCCGGTGCTCCCATGCCGGCACTCTGGCAGCCGAGCCGAGTGCTTGGCTGCTTCCTCTCTAGTGTTCAGTCAGTCACAGCACCGACAGCATTAGGTACTTGCTAAATGAATGCACTGCCTTCCAACAGAGCATCACCCTCCCTACAATTTTAACACATATGCGTACATCATCTCTGTCCACATGCTGCACGTACACACACACACACACACACACACACACATAACTTGGTATGCAAGCAGCAGAGGGGGAAATTGAGAATATTAGAGGAAATATAAACGGAAAAGCAAGAGATTCACTTCGCAGTGGTTGATTAAAGTTTGTTATCTAACGGCTGCAGTATTAATCAACAATCCAGACTGCACAGAGATGGGGTTAAAAGAGGGGAAAGAAATGAAGGCGAAAAAGCAGCAGACTCATAAATGAGTGCAACAAAGAGTATCACGTGGATTTTGTGGGAGGTATGGACAAGACTCAAAAGAGAATAAAGAGAAAAACCAGCTTTATGCAACAAATTGCCACTAAATCCTCATGCTGACATAGGAGGGCCGCAAGATGTCAGTCTATTTCCCCCCCCTTCCCTTTCCTTCTTTGTTTTGCATGGAATAAAAGAAATAGCACAGTAGAGCTTTATTCAACAGACACGTAATACCGAATTTGACTTGCTAAAGGAGCTGCATAGCTGCATAGACTGCTTGATTCACGTCCGTGGCAGACAGCGCACCCAGCACCATAACTACATTTGTCTTTTGTTGAGTCGTTATCAACATTTTTTTTCCCAAGGCCAAGAATTCCCACACGATTCCTCCTCATCCCTCAAATCCTCCCCTTCATTTCTTCTCCTCTTTTTACTCCCGAGTTCCCTCCTATTCTTCCTCACCTCTACTCATTGATAAAACATACATATGATACCTTGAAGTCTGCACTTGCAGTCACTTTGAAGCTGCACAAATGTGTCAAGACTGTATTCTGATGAAAATGGGATTCTTTTTTCCTCGGGCAGATCTGCCCTTCGAAAACCTCCTGTTCTGTGTTTCCCATGGCAGAACAGAGAAGAGGACTGAGCTCCTTTGCTCTAACCACCCCCACCCTCCCTCCCCAACTTGACTCCCTCTCGCCTCCTTACAAGGTGAATCTACTAAAGAGGAGAAGGGAGTCAAATACTCCCTTCACATATCTTCCTGTTTTTATAGTAGCCAGTTACACTTTACCCATTTTGTGATTTTGTATGAATAAATCAGTTCTTGGCTGTTCTCGGTTGATAGCCAATGCAAATACCCATTTTCTTTTTATTTGGTTTGATTTTGCTGGCATAAACACGCCTTAATAGCTTTTCATGACGAACGTTTGAACATTCAGACAGCATTTATGTGGCACAAAAGAGAAAACCTGATCCCTCATATCGGTAAACGTTGTTTTATTTGCAAAGAGGCTGATATCAGCACGCACTGATGTTTGGTCCATTTGTCTGCCTATTACTCCTAAGACCCCAAACTCTTCCACGGCATGCATTTTTAATTTCTCTTTGATATTTGGTCACATTGGGGCCCGATGAATGTAAAAACAAAGAATTACCAGATTTTTTTTTTTTTACCTTATTTTTGTTTTTATGAAAAATAAGAGCCACATGTGAGGATATTAGTTTAAAATTTTGATAAAACAGTAGCAGTATAATGTCCTTGTAAGTGGATATCAGGCCCTTGTAGAGCAGAATTGAGTATTTTGGTCTAAATAACCCAAAATGTGATGTCCACATATGTGGACGCCAGGTACTAGGAGGTTAAGGACAGAGCTTTGAAGACTAATTCTGCACATTTAGTCTGAAGCAAAATATAACAAAAACTGTTTTATTACACAGTGCCTGCTTCCCACTGTGGTAAATATTAAGGGATAATTATTATTGTAATAATTGCATAGCCTTATGCTAAGATCAACAACATTTACTTTAAAAAAAAAACAAACCACCACTGTAACTGCTCCATAAGCTATTTCATATATATAAATGCCTCTGTGGTTAGCTAACGCTCTGTTCCTTTTAAGATTGGGCATTTGATAAGCCCTAATCTGTCAGTGGAGTGCCAACAAGCACAATTTTAAAAGGGGCTTTCAAACTGATTGATCTGTAACAGATTTTATTTTTCTCCTGCTGTGACAGCTGGACCAAACAATTCTCTGAAAAAAAGGGCACGTTAGAAGATGTCTCTGTGACCTTTTCAGAATGCTCGAGAAAATGAATGGGCTTTCTTTCCTCTTTTTGTTTTCATTTTAAACTCTGCGCTAAACAGATCAATATATACATGAAGCCGGAAGCAGAAGTGACTCCCGTGTCTACCTGGAGACATCGCACACACTGTTGGCATGTCTTTAAACATGATAACACAGCCTAAAACAATACAATAGACCACATGGTCTCAGAAACTACCGGGAAAGACAGCAAATGAGGGCAAATGAGATAAATCAGTGTGAGATTATTACATTTAAGGGCTACGCCACTTTATGAGTTTGTAATTACTGTGTGACCTTTGCAAACATCTTTAAATCATAGGTTGTATTTATGTGGAAAAGGTTAAGATGATTTTAGTTGTTCTAATAAAACACAAAAGCATTCAGATGTTACCTCATCAGTGTTTTAGTAGACAAACAACATATCCTTGAATTTGCCTGTCAGCAGTCCACAGTCTTGGCTCCGTTATCATTCGTAAAGAGAGCCCGGCGCACGAGCTTTGCCAGAGGAATGTATGACTTTGGAGAACAAGCGAGCAATGAGTGCGCCATACCTGACTTTGTCTCAAACCACAAAGCTCTGCTGAATAGCTAAACACCACACAAGCATTGTAGCACCATTCCTCCGCCACGGTGACCCTCACTCAAATCTCCCTGTCTGAGAAACCCAACCACAAGCAGCTCAGACTAAGATTTCAAAACCATGGAATTCCAGTGGCCAACACTAATATGGCCCTTTGACTCTGTAAGCCTTTATATAGAAAAAAAAAAGAAAAAAGCTCAACTCCAATTATTCAAAATTAGGATTCTTATAAACTGAGTATATCACCTCAGAGAGGAGGTGAAATTCCATCAACAACTCTAGTTTATACAGAAGATCTTACAATAGATGCTGAAATTTGACATCAAGTTTAATTTACCACAGCACTGCTTTTTGGTTTGATGGAACTATTTGGGGGAAACAGGGCAGTTTATCAAAAAATGTGTTAAAGTAACTGCTATGTTTCCCCTCATCTGGCATCTGCTACTGATGGTTATACCATGTAAAACCAAAATGACGAGAAAAAAGATTTAGCCCAAAATTCAATATCAACAACTCGAAAACCACAAGTACAAATTAGCATCATTGTTAAGGAGCAAGTTAGGAGAAAATGCTGGTTGTGGGGTTTAAGCTGTCTCAGCAGACTTTTAATGGTTGACTTTGAAAAGAGGACTGGCTTCACTTTCACAGAAACTGATATAGAGAAGTTCACAAAGCACCTGGAAGCCCGGGAAAAAGCTGTTCCCATTTATTTCAGGCTCTTAGTGCATCTTACATCCAATGCACCTGCCACGTTTGTTAGATTTAATGAACAGCTGTTGTAAACATGATTACACGTAGATTATTTCATGTATTAGATCTTTAAATGCAGTATTTTGATGCCAGATGAAAATCAGTAACAATTTTAACAACCTTTTAAATCTGCCTCAGTAGCAAACAGTTTCCTTTAGGAGGTGGACAGTAATATACAATCCCTAATATAAAGCTCTGCTAAAGACAAATCTAAATAAATTCATGTTGTTCTTGTAACATTTGTGCAATTTTTCACAGAACATGTTGGCACCAAAAAGTGGTGCTCCCACTCAAACCTAGGGACACCCACGCTACATGCTACATCAAGGCAGTGCAAACGACAGTTCTCAGCAATATGCAGACATTCCTTCTACATGAATACGGAGACTTCAAGAGGCCCAGCAATGCATCTGTTGATTGGCATCAGACAGATGGCCAAAATACACTCCGACACTAAGAAAGTGTGACCTTTGTCCGACGACGAGCAATTTTACAAACAACTGTCTGGTGAGTCTTGATTTCTGCTGTGACACTTGAATGCTTAAGGTGAGAATTTAGCTTAAACAACATGAAAGCATTGATCCATTCTTGGTGGTGGTTCTCTGCACTTTTTAGCCTGTTAGTACCAACTGAACATGGTTTTAAATGCCACAGGCCACCTGGGTATTGTTGCTAACCACGTCGATCCCTTGTGTCCAAAGTGTACTCATCTTCTGTCTATAAAAACGAGTTTACAGTACTCACTCTACCTCCACAGTCACCAGATCTCAATCCAATAGAGCACCTTTGGGATGTAGTGAAACAGGAGATTCACATCATGGATGTGCAGCAACTATATCATGCCATAATTTCAGTCACTCTGGGTAATGTTTCTAGCACCTTGTCTTTTTGGTGGAGATAATCATAAGATAAAATTAAAAACTAATAGCAATACTGTAGCATGAAGCAATTATGCCCTAAATGAACTCATGATTATTTGTTTGCTTCTGCCTTTAATCTCTGTGCTCCTATTTAATATCTATCAATAAAATAAAGAGAAATTTATAGATTAACCAGACAGCTCGTTATTTCAAATGCTGTTTCACAAACACAGGACAAACAATAGTCACCAAGGTTCTGGCACACAGAATGAATGCACTAATGATGAATACATATTATGTTTCACCGTGGTAGCTTCTTTTCTCTCATTGCTTCTTTAGACTCGTTACTTTTTGGGGTTTTTTTTACTGAATACAATTTCCTTGAACAGAAACAGAAGCGCCGTCTCTGCTATGCTGTGACCCCAAGAAAGATTTTACACTGTGTGACGAAACCCTGGGAGAGAGCATCAAGGACGCGATGAGACAACTTCATTTATGGCCTGAACCAATCTAAGGTGCGTGTTCTGCCAGTCTCAGAGGGCAACACTGCATAACTATGACATCAGCCCATAAACTCTGGGAGGACAAACAGACACAAGCACACCGGTGCTCACATGCAAACCAACACACATAAACAGCCAAACATTTTCTGGTCTGTTAAGCTTTATGAGCCACTGTGCGCCTGGACCGTCCAGGTTTATATCACAAACAATAATGATGAGATGTAAAAATGGTACGGACTCTTGGAACAATAGAATCATCAGGGAACAACAGATCCAACTGTGGGCTGCAGAAAATATCAAAGCAGTGGCCTCTGTGTAAAATACATGCGCAAGCTATGAGCTATGGTATGCAAGGAAATATCAGTAGCGTGAGCCTACCATGTACTACTCCTTACTTCTTCTATAGCTTGTCCTCATCCCATCTTACTCTATTACTACCTTCACAAGTTAAATTGCTTACCTGCTTCTAATTGTAAGGGCCTAGAGTGGACATTACACAGTTGCATTTCTCTGGTATGTTGAATATGAACTGGGACTAGATTTTATCAAAGAGAGAAAACAGTCTAGAAGTAGACACACGGGAACTGTTACTATATTTCATCAAGAATAAACCCAAGGGAGGCAGGAGTCAAGTATCTGAACTTCAAAACATTGGCAGCTGCTACATACAGACTAAAGAAGTAAAGCAAAACAACATATTCAAGGAAGATTTTAGAGGAAAAAGTCTTATGAGGTCTTTTTTTTAAACTTTGAGTCGTCTCTGTCTAGGCCAGGTGTTTGACCTGAGTCACTCATGTTTTTATGCTTCTTTTCACAGCTCAGCCCAGGTTGCCTCTGCTGTGATTTTCCCTCACTGGCAGAATTGTCTGCTTTCAAAATTCAATGTAACAAACATTTCATCTGTGCTCTAAACTGTGTCTTTTCCTCTCTTTCTGTTTGCTCCTTTGAGTGGGACTCTAATGTAGTCTCACTCTTTTGTTTCTACGGCCCTACAGTTAACATACCCACTTCGGTTCGTCAACGCTTATTCAAGTGTACATTCATTCTATCAATAAGCATGGGCAGTCCTGCTGATTGTGGAGTAAAATCATTAGCATAAGTTTGCATTAACATTTGAGCCATAAAATATACTCCTGATTAGTTCAAGAATCACTTACATGTCAAAATACAGATGCACCGAGTCTACGTCCATGCGGAACATGTACACAGCGGTGCAGGCAAATAGTTGCAATCAAACTTATAGCTACATGCTAACATGTTGCTAGTGTGAAGTATGTCAGGGAAAGTTGGGTATAATTCTTTGTGCCTCTTTGCAATAGCAGAGCACTTTATTTTCAACTAAGCGTGAGAAGATCTTGCAACTTACTGCAGCTCGAGGGAAAGTTTGATCATGTCTTTTGCAATAAAAATAATATTTTGCATGAAAGGTAATTTTTTGGGGGGGGGGGGTCTGCGAATCTCTAGTCAAACCTGTCCAGGGTGTACCCCACTAGGATAAACTCCAGACAACACCTCCAACCCTGAATGGGATAAGGAGTAAAGAAGGGAGGTGGGTGAGTGAGTGGATGATACAAGCTGTATGTGACTCATACTGTCAGCTTAGCTACAAACTGCATTTAGGCAAAATTATATATAGGAAAATGCCAAACGTACTGCTGTTTGATTCACCAAAAATAGGCCAAGGTCAAAAGCAATAAGGTATGAGGAGACCTGGGAATAGAATGGGTGAAAAGACATAAGGGAAAAGGGGGTGAAGGGGGAAATATCAACAACTGTGACAGCTGTGTGGATATGGTAAGCTGAACCACAACAGGGAGGCTCCAGGGCAGGAATGCAGAACAGATCAGCCAGACCGGAGCGTGTGCTTAGGTTTGACATGGCGAGGCAGTGGCGAGCCACACCACACAGCAGCTGTCTAATCCCAAACTTCTGCCTTGATACTCCTGTTCTGAAAAGCACAGTCCGTTCTTTGAACTATTGACTTCTTATTTGTTCTAAACCTACTACAGATGCTCTCACCCTTCGGTGTCTGTCACTCGCTTGGATTAAACTGACATGCCACATGTCAGCCTCTGGCACAGGTCGTGTCTCAGGGTTATCTCGACAGGCAACACAATGCAGTCACAGATGAAAAGTATACAGAGAATTTCCTGTAGACTTCTTGAGCTCCAGATGTCAAGACCTCAAAAACCAAGGAGTCTTACCTGCTACAGAGTTTGGCCTCGGCATCATGAGGGAAGCTGATGTCTGTGGCGGGTATGCAATGGGTCCCTCAGGTGAGTGACTCGGAGGGTGTGGTGGCCCTGAAGCACCCGCAGATACGTTAGGGTGCTGCTGGTCTGTCCTGGATGGGGTGTCTGCAGGTGTTGCTGTGGCACTGCTGGAGTCTTCTTCGGCCACAGGAGAGCAGGTGTCCGCCCGCACGCTCTGTGCCAGGCCATGGCGACCGCTGCCTCTTAGGCTGCCATCTTTACTCCACTCCAGGCTGGAGCCGCTGCGGTCATCATTCTCTGAAGAACTAGTGATGGTGGCTGAGAGCAGATTTAAATATAAAAAAAAAAGAGAGAGAGAGAGAGAGAGAGAGAAGGGATTTTCAGCAAGTGAGGGAGGTGAAATGAGGGGAAGAGGCACAAGATATATCTGAGTAATGGTCTTTATGTGCGATGAACATTTATCCGTCTTAATCTCTAGTGAGACACCGAGCTGTAATGGAACTTTCAGCTTTGAGTGGCTTGGTGGTTTTGCTGATTGCCTTATCAACAGTTCTCAGAAGCTCATTTTATATTTACAGCGATCGTCTTCCTATACTCGTGAAACTCGGAAAGTAATATTGCACAGATTTATAGAACGTAATGTATTGTTATTGTTAAGAATCAGCGTTTGAATGATTTGGAATTATCCAGTGCAAACAGCAACTGCAACAACTAGTCGGAGGGGGAAATGCAAAAGAGCAGGAAAAACGATATAAAACAAAACATGGACATTTTTTTACCCCTTCAGTTTAGACAGGTGTCTCTTCTAGAAGAAGAACTCCTTTAATTTCCCCTCGAGCCAACACAGCGACCTACCACAATCTTAAAAGCTGAGGAATGGACTAACTCTCCATGATGACAGGCAGCTGGACACAGGAACATCAGCACTGTTAGTGGACTGGAGCCGGCCAGCCAGCTGGCCATGTTTGCATCACACACTACTAATCTGGATTTCATAATGGCGCAGCACGTTGCATCACCACTAATATTAATACAACAAACACATCTTGGACCCTGTGATTCCTGCGCTGGTTTCCTGGGCAAACATGAAGTCCTCTCATGGCAGCAGTCACAATAAACCCTGCTCGGACCACGGCATTAAAAGTCATCGTGATCTTAAGGAAGTTCTAGTTATTGCTTAACTGGCTAAACTGCAGGACCTTGCTAAGAAGAATATGTAATTATTTATTTAAGCTTAGTGAAAATTTGAATTTTTATTTTATAAACAACTACATGCAGTCAAGTCCAGGCCCCTCATGAAGGACCTTTTGAGGGAGCTGTTTTGTAAATGTTAAGACATTGCAAAGTCTCACTAATTCCATCAAGGAGCTTTTAATGCAAAACAAAGCCAAATTAATGTGCTTCTGAAATAACAGTCAAAGTGAAACTTCAAAGAACAGAGAACATTAATCACAGGCATCAGTCTGACTTGTGGACGCACTGTGACTTTGTTCTTTCTTTTCCTTCCTGCACAATTTTATTAAGGAGTGTGGGTGGGATGTTGTAGACCAGTGGTACTTTACACCCCCTTCCCAAAAACACTCCACCCGCCCACTCAAGTACATAGCAGACTAGCATGCCATAGTCACCGATGTAACAATTTAATTTAACATCGCTCTGCTGCAGATTTAAAAGCCCTCTGCTGCAGATACAGCTCAAGAATCTGCTGTTAGCAGTGAAGCAGCCAGTCAGTCACAGCTTCAAAGGATATCTATACACAGCTAATTAGACTCGAAAATTACATGCACATGGCATTTCATAGTTTGTAATGGGTGTGCAATAAAGGGGTCGTAGAGTTAGGGATCAAGAAAGGAAAACAAGCTGACCATAGTTATAGCACATGCTGCATTTCTGCAAAACTGTGTTCTGTCTGTTTCAAAGTTCAGGTGTTTGATAGTTGCTCAAAACGTCTTCATTACTGACAGATTTTGATGCACAACTAGTGTTACTTTCTGCATGTCTGTGTGGGTCTGTGGGTTTGAGCAGCTAATGCACCCTCCCAGCAATCTGTCTGTGACCACAGCAAAGAGCTGAGGGAGACGGAGGCACCGATTTCTATTAAGAACTGGGTTTTAAGCAGCATGACTTTACTTCATGCCAGCTCGTTTCACTAACTTTCCTGAAACCTGCTTACTGAAGTTAACAACCACACTTGCAGAGATGGCATTCTCTCACAAAACTCATTTTGAGTTAACTAAAGTAACGTAATTGCTGACAGCACTGACAGCAACGCATTTGGCACCAATGCACATCTTATCCTGGGTGGTGTCAAAGCTGCAAGCTGGAAGATGCTATATCGCAGCTTACATAAATTATTCAGCACGTTAGCAATGATATTGCTTTGGGGGGCAGAATGACTGAATCATGGTAATCATTTATGTCAACTCTGGAGTATTGGAAATCCAAACTGTTGTGTTGGATCTTGCTTTGGCATGCATTACTTTCTCCTGCATAACTATAATTTTCATCAGCAAGTCTGATATTCTTATTAGTTCAAGAATATCAGACAAATATCAGGGCAAGGGAAAAGTTTAAAACTCTGGCACCCTGTCCTCTAGTCTAGCAGTGCAGTCAGGGAAAAAAAAAAGGGGGGGGGGTTCAACAGTGGATAAATACAACATCATAGAGTTACAATTGCTATTCATTCCTCACTCAGAATGGAATCCCAGCATTTTTATAGGCACTGGAGGCTTTGTGAGTAGAAACGGCAGTTGAATTAATGCATCAATAGACTATGCCATCTTCCTGTCAGCTTGAGTAAATCCCCTGACGTCTTACAGGGCTATTACTACAGATACAGAACAACGTCACACTGTGGCAACTGTCACCTCAACGCAGTCTCATACCGAAACAGCTCTGTCTAAACCCAATGACGTACATGCTGAAGGATGAATATAATGTGACGCAGATGGTATTCGATTCCAAAAGGTTTCACACAATGAGTAGTGACTGACACTGGAACAGGTGTGTTTTCTTTGTTCTAACTCATAGTGCAGATGAAGCAAGTCAGATTGCAAATTAAAATTAGAAGAGCTTCACAGGAAGTGATTAGTGATTATAAGCAACGCTGCAAAGGGGACTGGGTGTCCATGCTAAAGTGCAAACTAATAGACTACTAAGGAATCAGCAGAGCTGTTGGTATTATTATTGTTCTCATCAAACCCAGAAACCAGTGCAGGCACCGGTAAGCTACAAGTGGTAAATCTGAGGCTGGTGTTACATTTTTGTCATTGCTATGAGCTGTGCTACTAGTGCATCTCGCACCAAGCTGCTCAGTCATGCAGGGCACATGGCTGAAAGGGTGAGGTGGGGACTAATTTGCATTATTTCTGAGCTATGCACAAAAGAAATGATTTTCACTGAAAATTTCTTTTTTAGATTTATGTAATTTGGATTAAAAGAGATGATAAGAAAAGTAACAGTTTAATCAAAGACCATTCATTTAAATGAAATTTAAGTGCCACCTACTTCCACCTGTGACCTGTGTATAGCTGCTAGATTATGAACAAAGTAAGACATTTTTTAAATGCATACAGCGCGCAACCCTGAACTTCTATAGACATTACCCCGTAAAGAGCATTCAAATATCCTTCAAAGTCAACATTAAATGTTGTTTAATCTGTCAGATCCTTAGTACAAAGTACAAATGGACTAATCAACTGGCAAGGGATCGGAATCAGACGATATTCAACTTCTCAACATGGAGTAGTGACTGGCTGATCAGCTTCCAGTATGTCTGATTACAAGCCAGCTAGTTTCATATACGTGCACAGTGCCACAGACATATAGGCACCCACTCACAGACACACACACACAGACTAACATGTTGTTAGAGGCAAACCGCCTCACTGTGTTTCCAACATCAAACTCCACAGACCCTTAAATCACCCTCACCCAGCTGAACATTGAATATTTTAAAGAAGGTAAGGAAGAAGAAGATGTTGTTAAAGTTAAAGCTATCCAGAGCTCATAGCCAGCCCCAAGCCAGCAGCCTTGGTATGAGTAAGATCAACACAAAAGAAAAATCCCAGAGATGAGTAAAAAAAAAAAAGAGAGCGAGAGAAAGGATCAATGCCCTGTGATCTGGTGAAGTTCCTGACATTTGTTTTGGTATATGAAACTGTTGTACCTGCTTTACTTGTAAAGATAAAATATGTCAGGCAGTGTGGATGCACAGCAACTCATTATTAGACAATTCTTTCAACTTGTTTCCAGTAGACACATCATGCTCATCTGATCTGATCTTCTTTTGCTTCCTTAAAAAAAAACAGTCATCTTTAATAACTACAATGGTGTTACACTTTTAGCTGGCATACACATTTTTGAGCAACGTTATATTAATTTGCACATTAGTGCAGCCAGGCATCAGCGCAATACCACTTATGCAAACATTGCTTCACAGATCAGCATCAGGTCAAAACTCTACAGGCCACCTTTGAGGACCTGAGTTGTGTCAGTAGGTAGAAACGGCAAACACTCACAGGCAGCAGTCTTTTAAAAAGAAAGTTCACATTAAACTAACATGTTTTTTTTTTTTTTTAAAGAATTCAGTGAATCTTCTCAAACTAAACAATGAAAGAAACAAGTAATTCAATCAACTTAAACAAGATGTCCACAGGAAGGGGAAAAGTTAGCTGTGGTAATGCGACTGCAGGATAAACAGCACGAGGAGTTCTTTTCAAACAAGCAGCTTAGAAATGATTGACTGGATCTACTAATGGCGGGTTACCCATTGTTCACTACAGAGCACAGAAACATGGACATTCAACATTTTCGCCTCTGACAACACAAACAGCTAATCTAAAGTCTAAAAATCCCAAGATGATAGAAAAATCAAAAATGCAAAAATGAGACTTACATTTTACTTGAATAAAATCTAATTAGTTTAAATAAACTGAATTATATTTCTAGATGACATGTATGGTGTGCATTGTTATTAAAAACTAAACCTTTTTCTTGTACCATAAAAGTTGGAATCTGAGAATAATGTGGGATCTATTAAACAGGCTTTTCTTCCTCACCTATGATCCCACTGTCCTTGCTCTCTAGCGTGGAACTGGGGCTGGTGATGGTCCCACAGGGGCTGGAGCGGCTGAGTGGGGGACGGCTCGTGGTGCTGTTTAGGGTGGAACATGGGCTGTCAGTGCTGGGAGACGCCGTGCTGCTTGTTAGTGTGGAGCAGGGGCTGATGCCCTGGCTAGTCAGAGAGCACTGCGGAGAAGAGAGATGAAAAAAGGGAGTTACTAATCAAATATGTCAATGAAGAATGAAGTCAGCTGGCAACAAGTTCACATTTTTTTTGTAGCCCAAACAAGAAAAGACAAGAAAAAAAAAAGCAACAAAAAATAATTTTCCAACCTTATTTGGAAGGAGTATTGAGAAAAATCACTGTCTACTTTGACCTGGATCATGTGAAAGCAATGCAAAAAATTCCTTTGCAAATAAACAAGCGCTTTACATGCGAGCATGACACACAAGCCGAAGGCCATAAGCACTATAAATGGAGCAAGGCTTAAAAATTACACACTCATATGTCTAGAGGAACCAAAATAAGTCTGAAGAGTATTTCACAAGGGAAGTAGTCTTTAGTTTGTGTGAACACAATAAACACCCTTTTTTAGGTCATCCAGCCTGTCTGACAACCATACAACAGCTAAATCTTTGTCTGAGATAACCGACAACCGTAGAAATCCAAATTAAAGCTGGTTTGTCCAGTTTCCCCATCTTCCTTTAACTGGATCCAAACACAATACAGTGTAGCCTATCATTGCCCCAATGAGATGCAAAGCAACACCTTCCAACAACTGATTATGACTTAGTAGGTTTTAAAGCAATTTTTGCCCTAGTCTCATAACAAAATTACAAAAACGGAACTTTTCTCACCACAGGCCCATTTATTTAGCATACAAAAGCACTGACTTTACAATTGAAAACACACAAAAGATGGTCCCTAATACAGCTTAGTAGCGCTCCAAAGTTTGTTGGGTTCTAAGCCAAATCAGAGAAATAATTACATGCAGACATTTTATCATTCACTGCATGAATAAAACACTCCTACTGTTGTGAGAACTGCTCGAATTAAATAATAAAAATCAATTTGGTTTATTTCCCATGTAGAATAACC